TTCCTCTTCTCTCCCACGAGGGCGCAGTCCTTGCTGGCGAACCTCTGTCCCTCTCCTTTCTCCTGCCTGGGGGCTGCCCCGCGGACGCCCGGGGGCTGCCCCGGGAGGCATGCGCCAGCAGGGGCCGCCCCGGGGGCCACAGTGCGCAGCAGAAAGGGGTGGGGGGGAGAGACCCTGTGCCCCGGCCGCGGCACGCGGCGGAAGGGGGGGAGGGAGAGGCAAGGTCAAGGTAATCCTCAGTATAAGTACAGACTGGGAGTTGAATAGGTTGAGAGCAGTCCTGCAGATACTTGGGATACTGGGAGTTGAAAAACTGGTAAGATATGCTCTTGCAACTCAGAAAGAAACATAGCCAGCAGGTCGAGGAAGATGATTCTTCCCCTCTACTTTGCCCTCATGAAATCCACTCAGAGTACTGTGTTTAGCTCTGGGGTCCCCAATACAAGAAGAGTGAGTCCAGAGGAAGGCCATTAAAGTGACCAGAGAGTTGGAACCCTTCCCTTATGAAGACAGGCTGAAGGAGTTGGGGTTGTTCTGCCTGCAGCAGAGAAGGTTGTCGGAAGACTTTACAGCAGCATTCTAGTATAAAATGGGGCTTGTAAGAAAGGCAGAGACTTTTTGTCATGGTCTGTAGTAACAACACAAGGAGGGATGGTTTTAAACTAATAGAGTTTTTACGATGAGGGTGGTGAGACACTGGAATACGTTGTGCAGAGAAGCTGTGGATGCAGTGTCCAAAGTAAAGTCAGAAGGGGCCTTGAGCAATTTGTTCTAGTGAGAGATGTAGATGCATGGATTATGTGATCTTTAAAGGTCCTTTAAAATCAAAATAAATTTTTGATTCTGTGATTTAAAAAAAAATTATTAGACAGAAAGGAAAAATGAGCTTTTATTTTAAAACTGAAAACATGACATTTCTAATGTCTTTGATAGGTGAGTTCCATGGTTTTGACAATCTTTGTTGGTTTGTTAGTGTGCTGGTTTTTGTACTTTCTTTTTCTCCCCTCCCACTATTTCTGTATTTTCATTGGCAATATGTGAAAGAGAATGTGAAAGAAACCTATACACCTTACCTAATCTGTTAGTCACTGTACAAAAAAGAAACAAATAGAAAAGTTTTTATAGATGTGTTTGATAAAACACTAAAGAATGTGAAAGCAGAACATTGCCTCTGTACTACTGATTAAGCTCTTTCTTGACATGTTAGTGAGTTGGAGCAGTGTTTTTCATAAGAGCTGGAGGATATTCCCCTTTTAAGATCTTCTGACATAGTCAGGAGAAGACATCAGGTCATAGCTTGGAGCCTTATCATCCTAGAGAAGTTCCTGGCAGAATTGTGTGGATGTCCACAGAGAAGTAGCTTGACTCAGATTAGACAATTAATAACTTAAGCTAGCTTCTTTTTAACTTATGTATTCTTACGCTACAGTGTGGTCACAGACTCGTGGGCAAAGAGAAGCTAAAGCTCCTCAAAAGCTAAATGAAGAAAAACTTGTAAGTGGGAGATTGTGGAATTGTGTAAATATGATAGGATGTTTGAAAACAAAATGACTCTGAGTCTTAGTCTATGATTACATGTGAAACTTGGCATACTTTCTATTCTGAACATTTTATGAACATCTTAATTTTAAGCTTCCTTTCTCTTCTCCACTCAGGTACTGCCAGAACTTTTTATGGTCACTCCAACCTTTGTTTGTTCTTTTGTTCATTGTGATATGCTAGTCTGTCTAGATCAGTGTGATTGTCATCTTGATAGATGCTTTAAAGAGGTATTTACTGAAACCCATACATTGCTTTGTTTTCTGCCTTTATCACGCAGTCTTTGATTTAGATTAGATGGACTCAGTAGATTAGAAGCATTGAATGTGTCCATATGTTTGTTCTTCAAAGAAGCTGTGTGTTTGTTCATAATGCATTTTTAGATTAACAGTATTAAAGATAGTTAAAAAAACCCTACTGCTTTAAAATATGTTACTACCATCTGTCATGAATGAGTGTTTAGATCACTTAAAATATCACCATCAAAAGTATTAGCAAAAGCAGGTTTAATATAAATTTGCAAAACACAGCTTAACAGAACTGGATGGCAAGGTTCACTCTATTACTTGGATGAAACATACAGAGGAAAATCTGTATTACAGAGTTAGAATCACCGAAAGAAGCACTGCCCAATATAGCCCCAAAAGGTGGTCTTAATATGATGGTGTAAAAGTATTAGTTCAATACAGGTAGAATTTTTACACAGACTCTGATCTGGCAGCAGAATTTTATTCATAGCTTTAAGGGGGATAAGTTTTAAGGTGAGTCACTTAATCATTGACTAATTTAACATTTACAAAGTCAATAGGATTTACTACAATCACTACAGTAACTGAATTATAGATCCAAGATGGCAACATTCGTACTATTCATACTATACTTGCTACAAGATCTGACTCAATTGAAATACACACCCCACACAGACACAAAGTTATATATTATATATGTAAATGTACAAAGGTCTATGTGTTAAAAATTCCACTCCAGTTCGGTGAAATACATCAAATGTCTTGGCATTTCTCAGTCGGTGAGAGCTGAGCCTCAAATAGTGGGTGGTGCTAGTCCAGGATTTGTCATCAGCTTTCAGTGATGATGCTCCAAACTTCTCATATTTGAGAGATCATTGGCTCTGAGAGGGGGTGAACTCAGAGGGAGATGTTGGTGCAGCCTTTTGTGGTCCAGGAGAGCTCAAAGTGCCTTACTTAGGACTGCTGTTTATAGGGTTGAAAGGTAATTGGATTTAGTTATCAGCAAATTTTGATCCTGGAATTCTCAAAATTCTATTACACTCAAGCTGCAAGTGTTCCAAGGCTGTCAGGCAACGATGGATTATTCCCTCTCTTGTTCCCCACCTTGGCCAGGCAATAGGAGTTCCTGGTATGTCCAGTGCTACTCTCACTTTGGCCATGCAAGAGTTCCTGATACTGCCAAGGGACACATCACTGACCAAGTCATTAATAAAGTCCAAGGACTAATGGGAATTCTTGAGATCATAGGTGAGGGGGGAAGAATGCAAATAATGCACCATCACACACAACTCTTTGTGGTTTGTTGGGAGGTTTTTTTATATTTTTTTGTTGATTTTTTTTAATATTGCTATTGCTAATCTTAGTTAGAATAAAATGGAAATTGGATACAAGGCAATTTTAAAAAAAATATATCCCTGTAGGCTAGCTGACATTGGCTTTTATTCTTCTGAAAAACCACACAAAACTTTCTGAGGCTGAATTTAGAGATGGAACCATCCAAATATGCTTTAAATTTTGTTGAACTCAAACCCCCTTCATTAATCTTTGCACCTTTATTTCCCCGAGAAGAACTACAAATCATTGTATTGTATTGCTGCTATTCATGAAATATTATTTACTTTAAGGTATGTAATTCATCATAGAATGGTTGTTCATGCATAACTATCTCTACTGAACTGAAATAATTCAATACTGTAAACAAAGAGAGAAAATCAAGTAAAAAAAACAATACTGGATTAATTACAAAAATTTTAAAGGACTATCATATGCTACCTTTGATTCAAATTAGGGAAATGTTATTTAACACAGTCATTCCTTCTTATCACAGGAAACCATTCTGTATTCTATTTTGGCAAATAAATTCGTTGATCATCATCTTTACTGCTCGAAGTTTAAAAAGTACCCAAAATGCAGCAGTAGACCTAGGCTACTCTCTGATCCAAAAAATATAACATCAACTGGAAATGTTTTTATTTTCCTTTTCAAAAATCTTTCTCTTGAAGTTGCTAGGAAAAAATCCCCTGACTTGCATTATAGACAAGCTACATGTGACTTGAGAAGGATTTATTCACTTCAGGAGCATTTTTAAATATCTTTCCTTGGTCAAAGTTCTACATGCATGCAAAATCTGTGTGGTACATGGATTCTGTGAAGGATACCTTAAGGAAGGCCTGCTGTGACTAATGGCAATAGGAAGATTGTGGAAGCTCTTTTTTCTCTCTGTGGTTAGTGATGTGTGATTCAACTCCATCAAAAAAGAAGCAGCAAATATCATTACAAATACCAGTTTATTAACAATGTGCTTCCTGGTAAGTATTTCTCAGTCACTTAAACATAAGTAATGCCTGGACAAGATATGATCAAAGATTTTAGATGTGGTTATTCAAGTATCATAAATCACAGACTTACTGTGCGTCTTAGAATATAGCTAGAAGAGATTGTCTATTTTAATCCTTTCTTTTTCATAAAAATATGCCCTTGGAGTTTCTGCTACTGATTCAATGATGTTAATTGACAATTTAAGATTTGCACATGCCATGCCTCTTAACTAATCCCCAAGCCATGTTTATGTCTCCTGTAAGTCATAAGTTGTCTTGCAGTTTCAACAGCTGTCTTACAGCTTCATACAGGGAGTATTTTGATATACAACAGTCTCTTAACAATACAACTTGCTCAAAAATTTCATTCTCAATGACACCACAAGATGTCTTTGTCTTCTAGTAGACTAAACAATGCTCTCCCATTTGTGGAAGAAAAATGACGCTTTCTAAATCAGTCAAATGTGTTCAGAGCAAGAATTCATGCTCGCTGGCACTGTAGTATTGAAGCATGTGTGATGATTTCAGACTTTTGTAGTGATTTCACATGCTTTTGTTACACCAAAAAATAGAGACTGCAAAGGAGCATTTGAAAGCATTTTGAAAACTATAATCTTCTGTTATTTTTCATATTAAAAAAATAACTACAAATAAGAGTGGCTTGATTTTTGGTACATCAGTGTCTAATTGAAAATTCTCCACACAGTTATACTATTTTTGTAACGATAATTCCTAAGATTCATCGTGAATTGATAGAGAGTCTAGATCTTTTGCTCAAACAAGCAGAAGGATAAGTGGTTTTTTATTGCTGACTTTATTCAGACACTCAGTTTTGAGATGGATATTAGGCCACATAAATGTCACCCTCTGTTTTCTGGATCTGATGTGTCACAAAACCTTGCTGTGTGAAGTGTCCCCAAGACAATGTTCTTTTACACTGTTATGGTTTTGCTTGTTCTTCATTTATGCTACATGCTTTTTTACTGCAGCTGAAAACTCAGTCATACAAATTGTCCTAAATTCTTGAAAGGTGAATAATATTTTATTGAATCAAGAACTAATGATTCTACAGAAAATGCTATTTACCATCCACTTTCTATTGTCCACATAACAAATATAGTCATGACTTTGGAGTGTGTGAGGAATGCGTATTTGAATCAGTGCACTGCTATTTAGTATGCAAATCCTGTTAATTCCAATACACGTCATGCTGCTAAATGTCCACATACATTTTGGGAAAACTACAGTTGATTATCTAATGCTCTCTCATGTAGGCTGAAGACCTTTGGTGCTGAGAACATCACTCAAATAATGCAGGGATCTGTACATCATTAAGTACCTGGATCACATCTGCCACAAGCTGGTTCTATAAGCAAAGAGGTAACAGGTATTATGAGAGCAAGAAACAGAGGCATGTTTTTTCTTTGCTTTTAAAGAACAAGACAAGTCAACCACATTTTGGTTCTTTTACCATGTCTTTATGCATTTAATACAAACTTTATAGAAATGTCGTCTGAAAATGGTACTTAGCACACCTGAGGATGGATAAGGACTATTACTACAGCTCTCCAGAGAGAGAGAAAGAAAGTCAGAAAAGTAAAATGACTTGCTAAGAGCCTCCTAGCAAATCTTTGACAGAGAAAGGATCAGTAAACAGTACCTTCCAGCAGTCACTTTCTGTTTATTTCTTTATTGGCTGTTCCTTATTTATAATTTTAAAAACAATATGGTCCAGCCCTATGGAGACTTACTGGTGAGAATGATTTTTTTGTTTAGATGCTTCAGTTTTCTCTCTCTATGCATGAAACCTTTAATCTGGGACTATTCCTCTGGAAATGAAACACTAAAGAATAACAGGTATTAAAAGGTATTGACTGTTTCTAAGACAAACCACAAGATGTGGTGACCCAAGTGATAGTTACTGACAGAAGTATTCATTTTATTAGTCTTTTAGAGCAAAAGAAAAAAATTAGTTTTTAATCATAGTCTTCAGAAAACCAAAAAAAAAAAAAAAGGAAGAAAAAAAAGAAGCCTACATGATATATACCTTACATGCAAACATGCATGTAGCATTTATCTCTTACAGTTTCTGTTAAAACTAGTTACTATTTTTTCTGCTTACCCTGCAGTTGACCTTGGAATTCTGTTTTGGAAAATAAATGTCCGTCATGATATTTCTAATATGGTTACAAGTTCAGGTGGACCTTACAGGTCCCTTCCCTTCATCCTCTGTGCCATTTTAGAAGGGTAAATTATCAATGCTGTGCTTAAGCTATGATATAATTAAAGAGTGTAAATTACAAAACCTGGAAAAAGAAACGAAAATTAAATTTCATTATAATTGATTCTATAAAAATACTGCACCACAGCAATTGTTTTGAAAATGAAAACATCTTTTAACATCTTTATTTATGCTACTGTAGATAATTTCAGAAATTAGGGGACATATGTGTAATACATTTATATGTAAGTATTTCTGTGTATATACTTGTATATTCATATGAGTAGATAAATTAATAGTTAAGCTTGATATTTGTTGCTGGTAAGTGTCATCATGCATAGAATATTAATGTATGATACTGTGTGTTTTCTTTGAATTTCCCCCAGCTGCTTACTTATCCATGGTTATTTTGAGTCATGACAGAACCTGTTTCCTAATAATGGCAGTCTCACTGGATAGCTAATAAAGACACAGGAACATGTGGTGTTAAAGGTCTTGGTGGAATCAAAAACCAGAGGAGAGAATGATGTAAAATAATGGTAAGTATGGTTTATTCACCTAGGAATTAAAAAAAAAAACCCTTCTTCCAATCTTACGTGTTTTTTATGTAAACAGAATGGGAAGATATAAGGAAAATATTGAATGGTTTATGGACCCAGAGGAAAACCAAGACTTTCTGTTGACAACTTTATATGGATTTTCTCATTACATTTAGAGATGGTGAAAAGTTTCAAGAAAGCATTTCTACAAACAATCTGGGAAACTCCAGCCTTTGGGAGAAGTTGGAGATCCAAATCTACAGTTGGATCTTAGGGTCACTCAGATGATATCAGAGGATGTAAAAAGACTCAGAAGTACTGCCTGGGTGGATGATATTTTTATTCCCTCCAGACATTTAGAATACAGCTATTTACATCAGAAATAACTTTACAAATTAATTTTATCCTAAGTGAAGGAGGCTATTTTACTATCAGGTATTTGGATACTGGCAAAAATATTTTCATATTTGAATACAGATCAAGTAAGTAATATTCTTAAAGTTTGGTATAAAAACTGGAAGTAAGACCTCCCTTCCTTCTCATTCCCTCTCAGCTGAAACGTAGTATCAGGACTAAAACCCACTTGCAAGGTTTAAATATTTATTCCAAGTAGAAATGTTGATTAAATAATTTCACACTGACTTCAAAAATCCAAAGTGAGAACAGTGTAAGTTGTGTCAGTGGCAGTAGCATTACCACTGTGCATGAGTCAGCCAGTGTGACTCTTGTGTTTTACTGGGTCACTCAACAACATAATTGCCACTATTGTCCTGAGCATCTTCAGCCATGGTGACTTTTCTGATTACCTCCCTTGGTAGGCAGTTTTATTCTCCAATTAAGCTCACTTTTTCTGATTAATTTGGGATAGAACAGCATGAGTTTTCATTTCCAGTGACTTGTTTCCAGTGGTGAATAGTCATGTGGTGACAACGAACAGACAAAAAATAATCCTACCAATGCACTGCCATTTATTCTGACATTATCATTCCAGAAGAAACAGTGTTTTATTTAATTTTTTTCACACTGATAAACCACAAAAATATTTTAGTTAATGCTCAAAATATACTATCAGAAACTAGTAGAATTAAGATCAGGTGCAGTATAAATACAAGGTTTCCCTGACTGCTTGAGAGCATCTTATACCAGCATCACTTTAATTTCTGTTGTAATTTTATTATGGTACAGTATGATATCATGATCAAGATCCACAATCTTAGTTGCTATGCAATTGTCTGTGATACATGATGCACAGAGTGTATGTTAACAGTTACATAACCTAATGGTGATATTCTTTTCAGACACACCAAACAGTAATTCTCTCTTCTCACGCCAAAACCGGATATCTTCCTCTGTTTTGAGGGGACTAAATTTTTTGGGGGGGAGTAAATTCTTAATTTACTGTTACAGTCACTAAACGTTCTCTACTGGGACTGAAATTTAGATAAGTGAGGTCAAGTCCAATGATGCCCAAGTATTCATCAAAACTCTGTTCAAATGTCATCTTTTGTGACATGTAGAATCACATTTTAGTTTTTAGAATACTATTTATTTCAGTGATTCATTCAAAATAGAATGTATATCAGTTCCTGGACAGACTGTCAGAATATTTCTAGGGACTTCTATAAGGTCTCTGACTCCACAGACATTCAGTCACAGCCTGACTAAATCCAGAGTAACATGAAATCCCTTATGTCTTTAGTTAGTGTTTGCGATTTTGGGGAATGGTCTTCAATAAAAAGAAGATAAAGGAACTCTATATGTTTGGGGTTTTTAATTGGAAATCTTTATATGATTGGAGAGGAGTTCGTGTGTTTTGTACTTCACTTTTTCCCCATCATATTTTGTTGTGGTAATACTAGTATTCTCCAGATGTTTTGGACACCTATGGTAAGCTTAGATGACTTTCTGCAAGTTAAGACTGAGGACAAATTTGCACAGTATTATTGATTAAGAGTGAATAATACAAACTATGCAAAATTACCTTTAAAACTAATTTTTTTTTGCAATATTATTGCTGTCAAGTCAAGGAGAAAGATAACTCCTGTATGATGTCACTTATAGTTTCCTCATAACTGAAAGCTCTGGAGTTCTGCTTTTTAACTGAACATATGAAACTCATGTTACCAATATGGGGCAAACTCTACATAATTTAAACTATAAATCAATAAGTGAAACCTGCTAGTATTTTGTGAATCCAAACATACAGAAAAAACCTCATACATAAATATGTATTTTAACATGTAACTATTATTAACTAGTTCACTTCCTGTGAACTCTTTACATATTTTTAAGGTATAATTTAAGCCTTACATTTGTTCAAGGGCTTAGTAAACCTGTCAGAACTAAAAGTGTGATTTGACTCACCTAACAGTTACGTAGAAAAGTGAGGTATATATTGTGCTTCCAGGGTGTTTTCATACTTAATCAAGAAATAAAATTGCCAGGAGGTTGTCACCACAGATTTTTAAATGTTAATCTCGATCTGTGCTCTGTGGCCATCCATCTTAGCTCGCTGACTTAAAAAAAAAATAAGAAAGTGCCCAGACAACTAGTTTAGCTCACACATCCAATTTACAGATGTCAAGCTGCTAGGACTGAGGCAAGACACACTCGCTCCGGCCTGATGTGTATGGGATGCTTTTCCTCCAGTGTGAGTGGTAAAGCTGTCATTCTGCACAGGACTTCAAAATGATATTTGTATTGGAGTCAACTGATCCATGGATCCAACACTGGCCCTCTGCACTGTGCTGAATTTCTTTTGCAGTAGTGATGTAACATTTTATTCAATTATTTTGTTCTTGACACACCAGAGCTTTCATGAGTTACATTTTCTTGTATCACTGCAATTTCTCAGGAAGGAAATAGTTCAACGTCTTGATGCTTTTATACACTGTAAATCAAACAGGTGTGAAAAAATGGAATTCGCACAATAACCAGGATTTAACAAAGCTCTGCAATCTTCAGAAGCAGTGTATTTACTCATTCACTTGAATGGTAAAATCCAATAGGAGCAATTCTAAGGAGCTATATATGCCTCTGTGCTTACTGTTCAAAATTATCTTGGTATTAAAAAAAAGCAAATCAAACAGGGAAATCTCATCTTCTCCAGAATTACAGTGGTATAATATTGAAAAGTTTTAATTTTATTAAGACAGAGGTGTCATGAAATCTGTAATTTACATGACTTTTGAACTTTTTTTTTTTGTAAAAGCCTTTAGAATATGGTTAAGTTCCTGTATAATGTCACTGCTGTCTCATAAATGTGCAGCCCTGGAATAATGAAAAGTGATATGTACCTCATGCATTTCATCTGGGTAAAATTAACTTAATGATCTTATTTCATAAATAGTTTTGAGTTGAAAATGTGTATGATATGTGTGCTGGGGCTGTGTGAATGCAAAATTTCTGTGTCTGGCTAGAAGAAACTATAAAAAGACACAATGTACCACATGTGTTTAGCATGAGGCAGCCAAGAGGCTTGTTGTGCTTCTCTACCTACAACTTTTCTCCATTAGCAACATCTGCTGTGGTACATGCGCTGAGATATGTCGTGGCAATTTCCTTCGCTGTAATCCTTGTGTTCCTTTCCCTCCAATTCTATAAAGCTCCTACAGCTTTTGAAGCACTTATCCAAGCATCTTATTTATCCATTTTGAGTGGTTCCTTTGAATTGCAAGTTTGAAAATTTTCCAAATATCTTAAGTTTCTAATTGAAATTCAGTTCTGTCCTAAAGCATGAGATACTAAACAAGAGGAACACTGTCATTGTGCAACTATCCAACAGTGTGTTCAAGAAACAGGATGGATGAGATGTGGTGCAGAGGGAGAAATTACCTACCCAAGAATACACAATAGGATATGCAACAGCATACATGAATATGACAAACTAATATTATTAATAAGACTTTCTGATTTCTAATTCACCTCTTGATAAATCTGATCATGGTAATTTTTGGGAACTGAGAGGCAATTTTCAGATAATTTCAGATACCACTTTAAGAAGGTCTACATGTTCATAAAGACCCTGAAGTCTTTAATCATCCAACTAAAATGTCTGAAAATACCCCACTCTCTCCTCCATGCCCCTGCCTTTCCTGCCCCTCCAACTTTCGCATCCCTTATATTTGACTCATCGGTGCATAAAGAGCAGTGTATAAAATCATGTTGTCTATATGTTTGAGACTTGCTGATCCTAGTTTTACTGGTTAATTTCAGCCAAATTTACTACCCAGACCCTGAAAATACAATGAAACTATAGAGTTTGTGAAAATAGGAATGTAGGTCATAGAAAGACTCAAATTACTGCTTCCACTGAGAAAAAAACCCAATGAAACAACAAACAACTGAAGTATGAACTCACATGTATTATTTGGCACTAGAGAAACCCTAACAGAAAATATCCCAGAGGTCAATCACAGGAGGATTTGTCTGGAGCATCTACTCTTTCAGAAGTGGGGTTAATGCAACTGTGAGGCTTGAAAGTGGAGAAAAACACTCTTTGTAAGTTGTTAGTCACAAAAAAACCTATCTTAAAAAAAAATGTTTTAAATCTTGTGCAAATTTTCTTTTAAAATAATGATGGTCAACTGTCACCTTTGCTGCTGATTATTATGACTTGGCTTATAATCTAAAATGACTGGGTGAAATGCTTCAAGCTAATATGACTGTAAAACTCCGCAGTGGGAAATGCCTAGTTGAACATGTGGCAGTAAATGGCCTGACAGTCTGAATATAGCTGAGGACAATTTCAGTGTCATGCTGCAGTGCCTCATGCTCAGTAAAGGTAGACCTTAGGCAGTTTACAGCTATGAGGAACAGACAGACTACAGTTTCTTTGCAAAAATATTATACAAGACACAGCTGGACAAGTGTCTTGTGAAAAATCATTTTGGGAGTACTGACACAAGAACCTCTGTATGGAACAAATGAAAAGAAAATATTTCCTCTCCTTATCTTATCAATATAGATACGTTAACTTCTTTTTGTTGTCAATAGTCATGCAACTACTTCCATAGCTTTTCAGAATAACAGGTCTTTTAAAGATGTAAATACTTCTTTTTTTTTCCCCCATCAGTTCCAGACATAATTGATCCATTCGGACATTTTCAAGCAGAGTTCTGAAGACATTAACTGACTTAATCTAATATCTAGTTTTTGTGCAATGGCATGAAGTGCTTTAAAGGTTATAATATTTAGACACAGAATAAGGTAGTAATGCCTTCTATTATAGTTCTTCATATTTGGGGTTTTCACTTTCCACTTTTATTGACTCTTGGAAGGTTTTACACAGGGTATACATTTTCTAAAAATGTATAGGTAATTTGATTTTTATGAGCTCTTTCTTTTCAAGAAATTACATTTGTGAAACTGGTGATGGGTAAAAAAGAAAAATTCTGCCTGTGAAAGCACACACATTCCGTTGAAAAAACTGCACAACACTTCATCTAACATTCCTTCTTACTACAGCACACTGCTTTATTCCACCCTCTGTCTTATTTGGGATACAAATTTTCCATCAATCTGATA